CGACCCCTTGTTGTTGCTACCATCACCTCGTGATCTCAAGATTTGAACAGCGCAGCAGAGGTCGTCGTAATGGCGGGTTCCAAGGGTAAGGAGGCATTTCGTAGGCCTCTGCACCAACTCAAAACTCCGCTAGGAAAAGACTCAGCTCCGCTGAGTCTTTTCCCCTCGAGCCTCGCTCACCATCCATGGCAGCACCGCTTGCCCCTTGAGCTCCGCTCACCAATCATGGCTTCGACACCGATCTCTGACTCAGTGCCAAAGTTTGGCAGATGCTGGGTTAGGAGAAGTCATCGGTGTCGTTTCCATCTCCTGTGCTGGCTCTTTCTCTCAGACCACGTCTACCCAGCACAGGTAAGCGCTCCACGCTCTCTATCTTATGCGCCGCATACTCACCCAAATGAATAGTGATCTCTACCAAAAGGCTTCGCCTATCGTTTATTATAAACGCACTCCAATCACTTCTCATTTGGTGAGGCATCTATTCTATTGAGCATCGTTCATACTCTTACATCCCCTCTGGCTCAGACTTCGTCAGCCAGATTGTAAGAAGTGTTGTAAAGATTCCCTCCAGCTCAATACTCACTTACCGTGCCTCTCACAGAATCTCTTCAGATTTCTTTGGCCCTCCCTCCACTTCCCTCTTTTCTTTTTGTTTTTTTTCTGTTATATGAACTATATTGTCTTGTACTTGTATCTTATTTGTATTGTCTGTGTAAGTAGCTTACACTCTCCAGCCTGAAAAATTCTGGGGCTCGCCTTGCTTTGGCGACCCCTTGTTGTTGCTACCATCACCTCGTGATCTCAAGATTTGAACAGCGCAGCAGAGGTTGATGATAGTTCTCATATGTGACACGTCACGTCACCTCTCTCTTTCCTCTCCACCCACAACCTCGCCCACCACGACCACCACGACCACCACGCAACAGACAACGACGACGACGACGACGACATCGACGGACGACGACAACGACGACTACGACGACGACAACGACAACGATGGTGGTGCCCAACAAACGGCGCCACCACCAAACGGCTGACGTGGCACACCCCATCCGGGTGTGCCACGTCGACGGCGATTTTCTCGACGACGAACGCCCACGACCCCGCGACGAGGGACGACAACCCCACCACCATGTTCCACCACCACCACACACCACCACGACAGCTCACACACCGACGCCGACGAGGAAACGGCGGTGGCGCCCAACAAACGGCGCCACCACCAAATCGCTGACGTGGCATGCCCATCCGGGTATGCCACGTCGACGGCGACTTTTTCGACAACGAACGGAACCCCACAACCACACCACCACCACCTTCCGCCACCACCCACGAACGACGAGCGCCCACGGACAACGAGCGCCCACGGACAACGACGGTCCCCCCACCCACGGACGAATGACAAACGCCCACAGACAACGACCACCCACGAGCGCACACGGACGACAACGAGCCCCCCATGCACGACGGCCCCCCATGCACGACGACGCCCCATGCACGGACGACGATGCCCACGAACGGACAACGATGCCCACACACGACGACGATGCCCACGCATGGACGACGCCGACGACCCCCCACCCACGAACGACGAGCGCCTGCGGACAACGAGCGCCCACAGACAGACACGACCCCCCCAGCACTGCCGACGAACGGCAAACGAGGCTGCCACCGACGAGCGGCAATGAGTGCCCACCCCCAGTATGTCCCCCCTCCATTTCTATCCTTCCTTCCTGTCTGTCCCCTCCCTATCTGTCCTTCCTCCCAGCGTTGTGCGGGTCGGCGACCTGAGGTCACAGTCACCGACCGTAAATCGTGAGAGAGTCACCAAAGGTCGTCAACGGTCAAATGTTCGCAACTTTGCGCGGTGCCATGGGGTCCTACCTCTGGGCGTGTGCTATATCGCACTGCGCAGTCTTCTAACGCTGCACAGTTATTCCTACATCATATTCTGTATCTACCACTGTTCTAGATTCCTCTATATCATGTTCTGTATCTACCACAATCCATTTTGTGTGCTACCTGTGACAGTTGTTCTGCGTCACCGACCTTAGGTCACAGACTCAC